TATGCTACCACCACTTAATCACCGTGATAAAGATAAAGTCTATATTGAATGTGCAAAAGGAAAAATGACAAACTTGAGAACAAGGAGCAATAAGGAGTGAAAAATTGCTAGCGATTATACATACAAATATCTGTGGACCTTTTCCAATCGATACACATGATGGTTATAAATATTTTATAACTTTCACAGATGATTTCTCAAGGTATGGATATGTGTATTTGATAACAGAAAAATCAAAAGCCTTAGACATGTTTAAAATTTACAAAGCTAAAGTGGAAAAGCAATTAGATTCGAAGATAAAGGTAGTGAGGTCTGATAGAGGTGGAGAGTTCTATTGAAAATTCACTGAGAAAGGAAGAAATCCAGAACCTTTTGCCATTTTCTTGCAACAAGAAGGCATTGTGGCTCAGTACATGAATCCTGGAACACCACAGCAAAATGGTGTTTCAGAGAGAAGAAACAGAACTTTGATAGAGATGGTGAGAAGCATGATGTGTTGCACAGCATTACCAAACTTCTTATGGGGAGAAGCTTTGAAGACAGCAAATTATTTGCTTAATAGAACACCTACTAAAAGTGTTGATAGAACTCCCTATGAAATCTGGTGCAACAGAAAACCAAGTTTTAATCACTTGAGAACTTGGGGATGTAGAGTAGAAGCAAAACTCTATAATCCAAAGCAAAAGAAGGTTGACTCAAAGACAGTTAGTTGTTATTTTGTGGGGTCTCCAGACAGAACAAAAGGCTACAGATTTTACTGTCCAAAGCATAATACAAGGTTTGTAGAGACACAAAGGGCAATCTTCATTAAGGAGGAGAATACAGAAAATGAAAGTGTCGAATTTGAGTTTGATGAAATATTAGAGCATCAGGAACTTGTAGTAAAAGAAAAACAAGGAAGGGTGACTACAATAATCCCATTTGTTAACAAAGCAGTCACACCCATTCATGAAGATAACCACCATGATATCAGGAAATAAATGTAGAAGCCGAGACACAAGTGGCACAACCTCATAACCAAGAACGAAGAAGGTCTCAAAGACCTAGAAGGCCAACTTTATCAAATGACTATCACGTTTATTTGCAAGAAGCTAAACAAGATATCAACCACTTGGAGGATCCTGTAACTTTCAAACAAGCTGTGGAAAGTGACATATGTGAATATTGGATGGCAGCTATGGAATCTGAACTCGATTCAATGAGCAAGAATGGAGTTTGGAAACTTGTCAAGCTGCCACAGAGTTGTAAACCTATAGGCTGCAAGTGGGTTTACAAAACAAAGAAAAGTCCACAAGGGAAAATTGACAGATACAAAGCCAGACTAGTGGCAAAAGGCTACACTCAACAGGAAGGGGTAGACTACAATGAAACCTTTTCTCCTTTTTCTACCAAGGATTCATTTAGGGTGATAATGGCTTTGGTAGCACACCTGATCTACACCTTCATCGAATGGATGTTAAGACAACTTTTTTAAAATGGGAACCTGAATGAGGAGATCTACATGAAGCAACAAGATGGTTTTGTTTTAAAAGGGGAAGAAGATCTAGTCTGCAAACTGCAGAAATCTATCTATGGTTTAAAACAAGCCTCAAGGCAGTGGTATTTGAAATTTGATGAAGTAGTGAAATCTCAAGGTTTTGTTGATGATCCACTGGATGAATGCATTTATATGAAGTTTAATGGAACAGACTTCTTATTCATGCTTTTATACGTTGATGCCATTCTTTTGGCAAGTAGTAATTTGTCTCTACTTCATGACACCAAGAGGATGTTGTCTAATCATTTTGACATGAGTGATCTAGGAGAAGCCAACTATGTTTTGGGAATCAAAATTAAAAGGGATAGAGAAAGAAAGTTACTTGGTTTATCTCAGAAAGGCTATGTTGAAAGAATACTCAAGGGATTCAACATGGACAATTGCACAGGTTATGATGTGCCCATGTCAAAGGGTGACAAACTGAGCAGTGATCAGTCCCCTAAGATTGAGCAAGAGAAGCATGAGATGAGGGATAAACCTTATGCATCATTAGTAGGAAGCTTAATGTATGCACAAGTTTGTACCAGACCTGACCTTGCTTTCTGTAGTAGTGTTCTTGGAAGGTTTCAATCAAATCCAGGACAAGCTCATTGGGTTGCAGGTAAGAAGGTGTTAAGATATTTGCAGAGAACTAAGGAATACAAACTGGTTTATAGAAGAGTGGATGATTTGCGACTGGAAGGATATGGAGATGCTGATTTTGTTGGTTGTTTGGATACGAAAAAGTGCACATCAGGAGTAGTGTTTATGTTTGTAGGAAGAGCAGTAGCTTGGAAAAGTGTTAAGCAGCAATATGTGTCGACTTCAACCATGCAAGCAGAATTTTTGGCAATTTATGAAGCCATCTCTATGGCAATGTGGCTTAAGAACTTCATGTCTATGTTGAAAGTTGTAGATTCTGTGCAGAGACCTAAACAGTTGTGGAATGACAATAGTGCAGCAATATTTTTTTCAAAAAGAAATAAAAGGTCATCAGGAATGAGGCATCTGCAGTTGAAGTTTCTATCAGCCAAGGAAAAGATCCGAGATGGTCAAACAGCTTTGAATCATATTGGTACAGACCTTATGATTGCAGACCCTCTAAATAAAGCTCTGCCTAACCATGTATTTCATAGGCATGTTAATAGCATGGGTCTGTTAGTGAATTTTGATGCTTAAAGTCAGTGGGAGTCAGTGGGAGCTAGAGTTTATAGTTTACATTTTTTTTTGTTATTTTAATTTGTATGATAGTTTGATAATATAAGTATGGAGTTTTCATTCTTCACATATTGTCGTTATGTTTTTTAACAAATGGTTTAAAGTTCAAAATGCAAGCGTGCTAGCTTTTGGTTTTTGTAGTTTGCATCCATGAATGAGTTAATCAAGTATCGTTTGCTAAAAGACCTTGGTAGTCTTGTAAGGCTGAGCAAAGAACAGTTGTGATTTTCTAACATTCTTACAGTTCAATCACAACAGTTTCTCGATCTCAATCCAGTTGGAAGCCTTATGTGTTTTCAAAGGTTCATATGTGTGATTGTAAAAGTCTTGGGTGTTATATATCCAATGAACTTCGATAGTTCCAGGTGAAACTTTGATAATGACAGCGGCTTGATTTTGGAATAGAGAAATGACGAGTTCTACATGGCCATTAAGAGGTTAACTTTGAGTCTCAAGCGATTATTGATCAAGTGGGAGAATGTAAGATGGTAATACATCTTTGACTCATTAAAGTGATCTTCTAATCACTGACGGATTGCTAGGACTCCAAGTTAATCAAGAACTCAAAGACTTACTCAACCATCAATTTTAGATAATATGTTAAACAGAAATCTAAAGCCTTTGGGATTCCTAACTCTATTAGGATCAGGGACGTACCCACTAGCATGCTAACCTGGGCTAAAGTCCAGGCAACTTGTTTTTTTTTTTTTAAGATTAAATTAATACTCTAGTCTAGGTCACCCAAATAAAATATTATTAACTAATCCTACTAGGACTAAGCTGATCATCCAAATAAAATATTATTAACTAATCACACTAAGGACTAGGCTGACCAACAAATAAATAAAAAGAACTAAACCCCACAGTTATTAACTTATCCCGCTACTGTGCACATCTATTCCAAAATCACTACACTAGGCAGAGACATTCCCTCTCTTCTTTACCCAAAAAAATAAAAAATAAAAAATTCCCTCTATCTCTTGCGCAGTAGCAGACCATCTGCTAGCACCTAACTCCTGCTCTTCGACAAAAAAGAAAATTATGCACATCCTCATACTTAATTAAAGCAAACTAAGGTAATGTTCCATTCTTCATCTTCTTTTCTTTTGAAATTTTTGGGATAATTTAGGGTTTATGAAGTATCAATGAAATTTTAGGGCTCATTATGTCCCCCTTTGTATTTTTTTTTTATCAATGAAATTTACTCGTACCGTTGAGTTTTCAATAGTAATGTAAGGTAAATTTAGCCCACGCCATTTTGAAATCCTGGGTCCGTATCTGATTAGGATTGAGACTCCAACATCTACTGCATTAAGGACATCTCCTAGAGTTCCTTGATGGCCAAAACTCTAATGCTGCGTTTGGATGAAGGAATTCTAATTTTCATAGAATTTGTAAATGACGGAATTTGTAATTACATCATTTCAAATTACGTCAATTCCAAATTTCCAGTGTTTGGATATCTTGTATATAGAATTTAGGAAATGACGGAAATTACAATTTTCCCTGTTTGGATAATCATAAAAAGGAATTTTAAAACTGAAATTCGCAGAGAAAGCAGGAGGCTTAAGAATATAAAAAAGCATCTCAGAAATCATGATAAGCTAGCTGTCCTGTAATTGTGACAGAAGGTCACTGTTCAACAAAGACAATTTCGATCAATATCAATTCAAAAGGTTGGATATATGATTCTGGGAGCTAGGTTGGATCTGCTACTGTTTAAGGTACAGTTTTGATAATTTCGATCAATATCAATTCAAAGTCATCTATATTACTAAAAAAACAAACGTAACAGTAAATCAAAATAAATGAATCCAATCATTCCAACTACTGTTTAAGGTACTTGTAATTAACTAATGATAATTAATAAAGATAACATGAGAATGAAAAATGTGTTTTATACCCTTGGTGAAATAAACATCAACACCATTCCTTTTTTTCTATCAACTGGAAGTGTCTTCAACATGAGAAATTGTTTCTCATTTTCTATAAACCAAGTGCATGCCTTCAATTGTTCATCTGGACTAAGTTCTGGAATTGCATTAACTTCATTATATACTTCTAATGGATCAAGCTTTTGTGTGGTAGCATTGATAAATTGTTCGAACGATGAAGCCATTTTAGCTACTGAATCAGCAAGAACATTAGGAGTACCTCTTTTCTTTGTATAATCTCCTCAGCCATAACAACTGAGGAACCCATATCATAAATACAGAGTAAAAATCTGCAGCCAGAAAGTGCAGAAAACAATAATTTCACAACATATAATCTATCCTTTATTGGAACAACACAGATTGAAAAGCAAGGATAGGTTGAGACTATACCTTTATTGGAGCAAAACAGAGTCTTAGATTGAAAGATGATAGATGGCAAAATCTGAAAACCAAACAGAAACCAAAAGAGATCAGATAACAAAACAGAAAGTATAGATAAAGAATACACCGTGCAGAGAGTAGAATACAAACAGAGCCCGGTCAAACCCATTGGATAAAGAATCAGATAACAAAAAGAAAGTAGAGATAGATCGATCAAACCCATTAAATTGAATACCCATCAATAATATCAACAAAAAAATAAAAAAAATTACAACTAGATTGAAAGCTTACCTGCGAAACTTGGATGGCCTGCCTTCTTCTCCCACTCTTGATAGAAAACTGATATAAGACCTGTGAAACTTGGATGGCCTGCCTTCTTCTCCCAGTCTTGATAGAAAACTGATATAAGGTATCTTTGTTGGCGCGCAGCAAAAACAATTTCCCCCGCTCTTGAGATTTTCAGAATTCCACCAATTATGATAGGATTTAAACTCGGGATTTTGGATTGGGAAATCCCTCCATATTTCCCGCAAGTGATTTGCCAAATACCTAGTAGATTTTGCCAAACGCATGGATTTCCCTTTTCCATCGGTGAAATCCCGATTTTTTTTCAAATCCCGTCTTTATTTCCTTTTGCCAAACACACGGTAAGAGATATATGCATATAAATAGAAAGCTCCCTCCAGAAGCAACAACACACGCTTTAGCTATCAGATATTCACCATGTTGATGCTCAAAATGGTTCGGCCAGGATTGAGTCCAACTTAGTGATGAGGTGTGATGGATGATGGGTGAAGGTGAGGACCTTCAGCATGTGTGTGAAGATTTGGGCAAACGATAAATATACAGAAGACAAGATATACGTGGTTCACTCGAATGATGGGCTACATCCACGAAGAAGATGTTCTCATTATAACAATGTTTGTTTACATTTGTTCAAGGGGATTAGACCCAAAGATAAATGGAAGAAGGCCTAGGGCCTAAGGTACAAAGCTAGGAATCTGAAGCCCAGGGGTCAAGTCCTAAGATCTGGAGACCTAGGGCCCGAAGGCCAAACTAGCAGGAGAGTCCTCAAGAGAGAGCCATTTTCTAAGGGGAGAGTAGTCTTCTTTTATAGGTGAGGGGGAGTCTCCATCTCTTGTAGTTTTCCGATGTGGGACTCCTGGTTGCTCGATTAGTCACGGTACTAACAGTAGTCCCCTAAGTTCGCGAGTAAGAAGGTACTTCTTGCTTGAGGATTTGTAACTTTAAGTGCAATGGCCGAGCAACACCATAGTTCTTCTTCCAAGTCATATAGTGCACTATCTCAAGTCCCCCAAGTCCCCGAGTAAGAAGGACATTGGAGGAAGAGAAGTTGGAATTTTTTTTTTTTTTTT